TATCTTCTCATATTTCAAGATTCCACCCTTCCGGATGGGCCCTATCATCAATTCCACCTTTATTGGCAAACCAATTGAACAAAACGCATGCAGATTCACCCTTGTAACTTCACAGTTTTCTATGTTCCCCCAATTCGGTCTTCGGCGCGAACTTGCTAATGACTTAATGTAATTCATTCCAAGTTTCCTCCAACTTCCTCGATATTGTCTTAAGTAAATGTGTCGATTCCAATTTGTTTTCAAGCGCTAAGGTTCGCCTTTATTCAAAGACCTACAATGTCTACACTTTATTCTAGAGGAAATTAAAGCTATGTTTCTAAAACTACAGTGTGTTAATTCATTATGGTACCCGATGTCATCATTGCAAGTATGCAACCAATACCACAGTATTTGCAATTTACTAAATACTGTGATATTGGTTGCATACTTGCAATGATGACGTCGGGTACGATAATTAATTAACACACTGTGTATATATTTAGTCCTGAAGATGATTTAATTATGAAGCGAAACCGGTTAAAACGTTTTTTAATATTTATTTTATGTGGTGGTGATTTTGGTATATATTTATATATTTTTCGTTGACAAAGTCAAGATTAGAGGATTTGTGGGGGTTGATTAATGGGTGGGAAAGGAACCTGGGAAAGGAGCCTAACGTTTGGGTGAAGGAGGCGTAATTTTAATAGGCGTTTAGCTTCTATGAACTCGCAATTCCTTCCGGTCCTTAAACCCAGCCACCGATTTTAATCCTCGGCAACTTTTAATCTCTTCCGGTACCGAAAATTTAGTAAGTGCCTCCGGTAGATTGCGCTGTTTTATGCGCGACTACTTTCCGCTGGAAATATTAATTAGTTTCGAAAAACAAGTGTCGCCCTATTGTGTGTCCTGGCATATTTCTGGTCCAAGAGAGATAGTGGCGAATGTCGGATTAGTTTTGTTTCGTAGACAAACCGGTGATTTAAGCGCTCCGGGGAGGCGCGTTTTTTTACAGCTTCCATTGTTTTAAGAATCGTTTGAGCGGGAGGGCTTTAAATAATTTTTTAACTTCCACGACCAGCGTAACAAATTCATTACAGTTAAAATTTAAAACGGCCGCGAGCGCCTCCGGGTACGGCGAAGTGGAACCATTCCAAAAGGGGTTGTAGCATAGATGCGCGGAATTCATATATAAATAAATTCTAAGTCCTTGGTGTATATTGTAGCGAAACATATTCCCTCGCCCGCCCTATGTCGACGTCGACGAGCGTTGTCTTTCAACGCTGAGCATAACGCGTACCTGTCCGTGACAGCAGAATTATTTTGGTACTATTTACAAAACGCGTTACTTCAACTATGCAGTTCTCGGTACAGTGTTTGTAAATTCAAAGTACGCAGCGACGGCAAGATTTTACCCTCGTGTAAACCTTCAAGTCGACATCTAGCCTCCGTTGAATATCCCATTACATTAAACCCGATATCGCTAAATATTTCATCGGCGTACATTATCCCTGAAAGGGTGCATAAGCCACTTTGCGATTTAAACTATCCTCAATCAAATCTAAAGACATATACGAAACAATGATTTTATTTTTGATCATATATACCGTGTGTTAATTAATTACCGTGCAACTATGCAACCAATATCACAGTATTTTTATTGCGTATTGCGATATTGGTATTGCAATAAAAATGCTGTGATATTGGTTGCATAGTTGCAATGATGACGTCGGGTACGATAATTAATTAACACACTATATACATATATATATACATATAAATTTTTAGATTGGAGATGAGTTAGTAAATGAAGGAAGTGATTGGAAAAAGCTTTGTTGGAATATTCTTTGGATCGAGAAAATGTAGATGGGAAACTAACGCCTATGGGCTTAGTTTCCGTGAGACCTAGTTCCCTTTGCGCATAAATCTTAGAAGGATCTGCAGACTTTTAAGTTAGCAAAGGAAAATAAAATCGAGAAATTTTATATCGTAAATAATAATTTTAGTTTATTTTGAAACGAGGTCGCAAAGAGCAATTTATCCTTTCCGTGTCTTGTTGGGTGAGTGCTCATATTTTCAAAGAGGAGGAGGGATGATAAGAAAACAAGATGACGAAACTGATTGTGTATCCGGATTCGTCGCGTCGCGGTTTCGAATTATAATTCTGTAACTCCGTTGCTGACGGTTTGAAGCCAGCCAGTAATTACATTCGCTGGGAATCAAAGTCCTTCACGTCTCGTCATAAAGCCGGAACCAATCTGCGACCGTAGGACGCAGAGGGCCTTTTAACGATGAATGAAGCTTAAATTTCTGGTAGAAGACCAATTACGGCGTCGATTTTCCATGAGAAAAACTTGTAGAGAGGATCCTGCACGGAACAAGTAATAAACTGTGCATCGACAGTGTAAAATAAGCGACAGAACCGCAACGAATTAACAGTTTATTGCCGGCCATTCCATGGGGTCTGGTAATTGAGGTGAAAACATAGCCTATCTTAGAGATCGGCTTGATTGCGGGCCCTATCCCATCGAAAGCACAAAGGACCCACAATCAATAAATCTCGGTCGATGTGTAACACAACTCTTATTACTCGGTCTCGGCCTTTGCGAACACTCTATAGCCGGCTCGATGAAATACGGATAAACGAAATACGACGTCATAGCCAAAAGTTATTTACCTGAGGGCCTAATGCTGTCCCACTTTTCATCGCACAGAAATTTCAAAATATGGCCAACAAAATCGAGTTCCGATCAAGAATGATGAAGACTCGTCAGGCTGTGTACTCATTCTTCTTTAAAATATCCGACCGAAAATGCCCTTTTTTTAAAAATACTAATACAAATAACGCTGTCGGGAGAGCACAAAAAATGCAGAAAGTATGTAACATGACAAATCATAAGCGAAACAAAGCCGGAAGCAGTTCTCCTCGAGCTAGACTGTTTATTCATACCTCCGTAATTTATTTGCCCCGTTTTCATATCTCAGCCACACGTGATTCGTGTACACGTTCGAAAAGTGTGCAGAATTAAAAGTACACATACTGTAAAAATATTTACTTTACAAACTGACCATCTATAATTCACATCCAACTGAAGTACTATTGAATAATGTGTGTACGATATGTAATATTAACATTTAAACGGGAATCGAGGGTGTTTGACCGTGATCTATGAAAAATAAATATCACTATAAAAATATAAGAGAAAAGTTGTTTTATTTTGACATCGGCGTATTTACAATCAATAGTTACCACTAATATTACACCAACACTGTGAATGAAATTTTAGCAGAATGCTATAAGTACTGTTGAAATTTGATATGCGCCAATATTGGAATATTTTTGTAATAAGTTGAAACAAACCCGTACATTTCAACGATGACATTGTTTATTAAACAATGAAAAAATTCTTTCGCCGTAGGCAATAATTCTCGGTTATACGTCGTAATCAGTGATAATCAAATTAATATATTAAATTACATATTAATATAAAATCTTTTATCTTATAAATAAATAAATATATTAAAGAAATGTAGTAAATAATGTAAATTATTTACTACATTTTAGAACTAGAAACACTCCGTTTAGCAGTACCTCTCTTAAGATGGTTGGTAGGTGGTAGGTAGCGCTAGTTAGCATAAAATATCACTATGTTGCATATTTTTAGTGAATTAAAATTAGAACTAATACAAGACCTAGAACTAGAATCATTCGGGTTTAGCCGTCTTGAAAGACGTGCGGCTAAATCCGAATGATTCTAGTTTTAGGTCTTGTGTTAGTTCTAGTGTTAGTGTTAGTGTAAAACTAGAACTAACACTAGACCTAGAACTAGAAACTTTTTATGTTTCTATTTCTCGGTATAGTGTTAGTGTTAGTTCTAGTGTTAGTGCAAAACTAGAACTAACACAAGACCTAAAACTAGAATCATTCGGGTTTAGCCGTCTTGAAAGACGTGCGGCTAAATCCGAATGATTCTAGTTCTATGTTAGTGTTAGTTCTAGTGATAGTGCTAGTGCAAAACTAGAACTAACACTAGAGCTAGAACTAGAAACATTCTGGTTTAGCCGCACGTCTTTGCACGTCCAAGCAAAACTTTTCCTTTGCAAAACTACCCAATGCCTGTACTATTAAGCTATGTTGTATTTTATGTGGGAATATTTCTTATGTCAACAAAAATAATCTCAGCCGACTTCAAAGACGTCTGAGAAGTCACCGAGATTAGGATTAAAGAAAATATTTAAATTAAAAATTGATATTAAACTATAATTTTGCATTTATTGGCGACGAAAGCATTTATTTACAATCCACCGGTTTCAAATTATGACATCTTCAGGAGCAAAGTTTTTAGCCCCATGTTGATTTCTAAACCTGTTTGTAACATTTTGCTCATTAACATGATAATTTTTATTATATGTTGTAAAATAAGAGTATAAAGCTAGGGATGTAAAAGAAGGATGTAATATAAGTCTGTATAAGAATCGAATTTGTATTTGGGGACGGTTTTAGGATCCTTGAGAATTTGAATCTGTTTGGATTTTTACGATACGCGAATCATTAATCACGTTATTTCGTAATCGTGCTACAATTGCGGGGGTATCGTGTTACGAGTGTAAAACTTAAATGAAATTTATATCGATTAGCAATAAAAATCGAAGCGATCGAAGAAGATTCGGGTCCGGGAAAGGATTATAAAAGTTTCGTTTTCGGCCGCACAAGCAGATGCAGTAAGGTTACGGCGGGGAATCGCGAGGGGTGGCGCAAGAGGCGGGAAAGCGGGGATATAGATAAGGTGCGAAACGATACCGGCGTAATCTTAGATAAGGGAGGAAAGTTTACGGTTGGATATTGAATAAGTTCGAAGCGGTGGCGAAGAGTGGTTTTAATGAAGCATAATCCGTCTGTTTCAAAAGATCAATCTGGATGTAAGAATGTAGTATAGTGAGCGCGTAGTAGTGGGGAATGCGCGATAGGTCGAAAACGGCGCGTCAGACCTCGTGGTCTACCTCTCACTACCCTACCGCGTTCAGCAGTGGACGGTACACTTCGAATCACCCTCCGCCACTCGCCTCAACTCGTTGAAGCACATGTCGCAGAAGGAAAAACCTTCTCTGACGACCCTGTCATAAATCGCCTTCAGACGGCTAACGCGCGTCGTGAGACGAGAGTGTGTGGTTAAAATGTGAACCTGTCCTCGTCGCGGATGGTATGTTGTGCGGTGTTGGGTTCCTATATTGGCTGCTGGCCTCTGCTGGCCTTCCAAGGGCCGGTGCCAGCGAGTTTCCGGAACGCGAATGTTGCGACCTTCAATATCCCCTACACCAGTCAACGGATGCCCCGACGACGACTCCGGCCTCTGTAGTCACCTCGGTTGGTCCAGGTGAGAACAACCGTCTCGGAAACTTCTTCCTTCCTTAATAAATCTGTCTAAAAGTCCGTTCACGATAAATCCTTCCGCGGAACTTTACTGCACTTGCACATGACCCGCGGGGACTTTTTCTACTTTTTAATGATTTATCACTGCGCACGTGGAAAGCCTCGGTTTATCTACTTTAACCGGCCCACCGATAACAACTGGGTAGTTAGATATGGTTTATACGGCTCGTCTACCAAAATCGACCAACTTTGTCCGGAACCTCCGCCAAAATTTTAGTCATCTCAACTACCACACTATTCATTAATATAAATAATTCTTATAAGATACGTAATCAGATGAATTATAAATTATGGTTATCAACTACGGTTATTTATTATTATTATAAACATAGACATACGCTATGTTAATTAATTATCGTACCCGACGTCATCATTGCAAGTATGCAACCAATAACACAGTATTGGTATTGCAATACGCAAATCGCGTATTGTGTTGCATACGTTTAGTGATTTAACGTTTTATAAAGATCTTTTTTTCGTTAATAATATATATTTATAAGATTGTGGTAATTTAATTTACTGCGCAAATATCTCGAGTAAAATTTCACAGTACGTCAATCTACCAAGTTGATCTCGATTTGTGAGCTATTCACTATAAAGCGTACTTGTACGTGCTGTTTCAACCATTATAAACTTTTCAAGTCATTGAAAACAACTTGAAAACAAGTGATTTGATTTGCACCAGAAGATACAAAGAAATAAATTTACGAGTTGTACCTAGATCGTTGTGGCTTGATACCATTGTTTACGGCGAAAAATCTTTTTAATGCAATTTGCCGTGTAAATATCTGTGTGATAACATTCAGATGGCCTTTTAGATTAAAATTAAAATTGCAAGCTGTAGAGGATCGGTTGGTACTATGAATCGTTTATCAGGCTGGCGTCGGATAGTAACTGCTCCCGAAAATGTGGATTCCGTGTTAAACTCCTGTTAATTATGTATGGCGGGTGGCGATCCTTCCTGAACGTAATGGATAATTTAGCTTAACCCTTTTATTTTGTTGTTTAAGCGGTTATTGACTCTCCCCATTGATTCCCTACCTTACTCGGTGTTTTAAACCCCTTTGAAGTGGTCTTGTCAAAGTTTGTCGATTATTTCATAGACTATGCTGTATAATGGGCCTAATCTACCCTTAATGCAATACCCTTAAATATTAAAATATTCATTTTCTAATGCTTAAAGTTCTATTAATACGAAGAATTACTATACTGTACTATCATACAGGTCGGTTTCCATGACATAAATTAGTAATTTAACATACGGTCTGATCTAGATGCTAAATTAGGGATCGCGAAATGTCGGGTTTCATAGTCGAGAGCCGTTTTAATCATCTAAATGGTGAACAGTGTCATTATACTGAAACCAACCGTTTCCGATCCGATAATGACTAAATGCGGCTACGGCGGTTTTAAACAAACGCGTTCAAATGTGAGCTCCCAAAAAGTCAAAGGAAATTACTGCATCGTACGAACAAAACGCGAAAAACGCAGTTTATATACTTTGAGAATTCCCCGGGTAAAGTCCGAAACGTTCGGACCACGTAGAGATGTATCAAATGTGCATTTCGTTGATTGTACCATACACACGTATTTTGACTTTTGCCTCGATACACCCGCGTAGGCAAATTTTGTTTCGCAAATGCCAAAAGGGTCAGACTGCCGGGCATGTCCAGAGAATTGAATAACTTTTAATGGCCCCCACTTTCGCGTATTCGGTTTAAGTTTTGTCAAGGCCCCGCGCAAAGCACCGGATTAGATTAAACGTGCAATCAAACGCTGTGCTACCGCCATCATAACGGCATTACGGACCCATTTACTTCATGCTCCCCACTATATCACCAATTATCCACTATTAGCTTTTATAAAACCGATATACCTCTCCATTAAATGCAACGTCTGGGTTAAATTGATTTAACCATATAATATATATACACAGTATGTTAATTAATTATCGTACTCGACGTTATCATTGCAAGTATGCAACCAATATCACAGTGCAATACGCATCATACGCAAATCACGTATTGCAATAAAAATACTGTGATATTGGTTGCATACTTGCATAGATGACGTCGGGTACGATAATTAATTAACACACTGTAGTATACAATAAGAAAATATAAACGAGTTAATAAAAGATAAATTAAATAAAAAAAAATAGATGGAATTATGCAAGAACAAATCTTATTGGCACGCAAGATGACGCTACCGTGATTTAATGGAAAGCGGAAATTACTCAATCAAAAGATACTCGATCGAAAAGAGAATCGAATCGTCCGCTATGGGATTGTAAAAAATAGTTCCACGATATTAAAAAATTAAATTATCGAAAGTGTCGCTCGAATGGATTCGAATATTATGCGAATTGCAAAAGTTTAGAGGCGGGAAGATATTTTCTCTGGGCTAAGTGCGAGTTCATTAATCATGCTCGGAAAGCGCTACCGCTAAAAAGAAAACTAAACCTAGGTGCGAATTAAAAAAGGGTAGCGAAACTCGAGTTGGAGAATTGTATTACGTTGGCCGAAGCAACAAATTAACAGTGTTGTACAGACAAATTCTTCAACAATATTTAAAAAAATTAAACATTTTCTTTCAACCCCGATTTGAACGTTGTAAACGTTGTACCGGCAAGATGATTAGTTTCCTGCCGTAATACCTATTAATCCCATAAACCTCATTGTCCCTTTAGGACACACCGTTGCCACAGTGACATTGTTGTCACATTACCAGATCACCACGCGTCATCTAGCTCAATACGTCCCCCTCTAAGTGGAACTGATGATTTTGTAATATGAATATCCCCGAGTCGGGGGGCAATTGCATTACAGATGAATTTCTAAATAAGAATGAAAAGTTTAAAACAATTTTTACCAATGCGTTTTGAGAAAGAAACGTCGCGACGTAGACAAACTCAATAAGTTAGCTTTAAACTTTGCAAGCGACGTACTTCAATTGTGTACAACCGACGTTTTTGTTCTTTATTTCGACGTCTCAAGGATTTTATTCAATTCCAGTTTGCGGGACTCGCCTATTTACTACTTCCCTACCTTCATCTGTAGTAGTCACTTTCTGTACTAGCCACTTTCAACTACCACATAATAATTGAGTTAAAGTATACGACAAACATAAACTGTTTAAACCAAAATTTATCACACACATTTATAATTATCATTATTAACAAATATACATCATTATAGTATGTTTGATTTTAGTTGTCATAACAGATATCTACAGTGTGTTAATTAATTATCGTACCCGACGTCATCATTGTAAGTATGCAACCAATATCACAGTACAGGTATTGTAACACGCAAATCGTGTAGTTGGTTGCATACTTGCAATGATGACTTCGAAAACATCGGCCGCCCCAAGTATCATGAACAATACTTTGGGCGGCCGACGTCTTCGAAGTCGGCCGAGATTATATCTTTCATAAATTTCAAGCAGATTATGAGAAATAATCTCGGCCGACTTCGAAGACGTCTTCCGCACCAAGTATCATGAACAATATTTTGGGCGGCCGAGATTATTTTTTTCATAAACTTGTTAATGGTGTCACTCGAGATTCGGAACGTGAAACGAAGTCTACCCTGCTGGAAGTTTATAGAAGAAATAATCTCGGCCGACTTCGAAGACGTCGGTCGCCCCAATTACCATGAACAATACTTAGGGCGGCCGACATCTTCGAAGTAGGCCGAGATTATTTTTTTCATAAACTTGTTAATGTTGTTACTCGAGATTCGGAACGTGAATCGAAGTCTACCCTGCTGGAAGTTTATGGAAGAACAATTACCATGAACAATACATAGAGTGGCCGACATCTTCGAAGTCGTGTACAACAATGTATGTACAACAAAAAATTATTCACGCAAAATGTTTCATGTGGTAAATGCTAAATTTTATATATACTTTGAACATAAACTAACCGGATGCCTCGGTCGAATATTTCGGTCGCAAGCGATACTTAGAGCAATGTAATATTTATTGTAACTATACGATGGATATATCTAGTTTGTTTTCGTTTAGTTTTGATTATGTCGAAACTTAAAATAAAAAATTAATATAATGATAGTGCATTGAAGGATCGTATTAATATAAAAGAAGAAATAAAAAATTTGTTCTCATGGTCATAGATAGGTATCAAAGTTTGAATTTCGCTATACCTTGAGTAGTAATTTTGTGAGTTATTTTCCCCTGTCGATCAAGATACGGGTAGAAATTATAAATCTGGGGAAAAGGGTTTTAAACAAACGTGCACGACATATAAGCTGTAGGGTTAATCGAGTTTCGTGCAATTTCTTATTACAGCGATTGCGTTGATGATAGGTATTTCAGCGACCTTCTCGAAACTGACTCTTAATGAACATGCATGTAACGAAAATATTGTCGTTTAATCATTGAGTTGTAATCACTATATTGTCCTGGTTTTCTTTTTCAAAAAGATTTTTGAAGTTGTTATTAATTTTTGTAGTTTTGAGGTTGGTTTTTCATTCAAGTTTGTGAAGAAAGTTAATATTTGCGGTCGGCAAAGGGATGTATATTTAAATCACTCCAACAATATCAGCTGTATAAATTTGCAGTGCACACACGGCGCACATATTTGGGACACGTACGTTGGTTGTACTTCCTTCTCGTGGATAAAATTGGAAAGTTCGCAGTTTAAAATTTTCGAAGGTAAAAAACAGACAACAGTTACTTAGACCGCAACCCTGTGGTCAGTTTGGCGCTGCCGCTAACTTTCAAACTGACTCTAGAAACCCGACAATAAGTTAGTTAATTGATTGTTGTTAGATGGACCGCGAAGAAGGAACAAGTAACGTTAAAAACGTTTTATCTGATGTTATAAAGGAATATATTGGGTGCGATACATCACCTATATAACCTTATAATACTAAAATCCTGACATTTAAGACTTAATGTAATCAATTTCCGCGGAAATATCTT